AGAGGGAAAGAGAAGAAGGTTTCTTGGAACTCAGGTGGTAGTATTTCTCGGTGGTTTTCCACCACGTGGCAACAGAGGGTTGGGCGTTCTGGGACGCTGGGGAGGAGAGTGAGGTAACGAAATCGGTGATAATGGCCTTTTGGGATGGCTTGAATTTTCCGTACCAGATGAGGTTGACGGCGATTTTGCCGTATAGCAAAGGACCGTTGTGGTAATGGAGTAACTGATCCTGATCCTTGTCCTGAACCAGCCTCCTTGCAGCGAAGGAGAGGTGAAAGATGGACACGAGGAGAGAGAGTGTGAGAAGGGAGTGAGTGAAAGTTGCCATTTTTCAAATGTGCTATAAAATTGTGATGCGTAAGAGTGAACGGGGAGGAAAGGTATATATAGGTGCCATGTAAGGGATATTTAAAATTAATAAAAGAAATGTGTGTTTAACTGAGGAGAAAGGGAAGTGGGCTTGTTGGGTAAGTAAGTGAGGGACCCACAATAAGTTACCACATTTGAGTGGGGTCCAGGCGCGGAGGCGTGAGAAGGAAGACATTGGAAGGCGTTTGGATAGGATAGGAATGAAAAAGAGAAGGTGACAAAAGGGGTACAGCTTGGGCCAGTAAGATTATTTCAAAACAGGGGTGGTTTGTCCAGATTGACCTGAGGAGTGGATAAGGACAAAGGAGGAATGGAGAGGGTAGAATGGGAAAGAAAAAGAGAGGTGAAATTATGGAGAAAGACGTTGAGATGACAGTCTGGATTTATGGGGAAGCGCGGAGGGATCCAACTGGCATTCACCCAATGGCAGCTTATCAATGCCTTTGGAGGCATCCGAGGAAGCACGTGATATAACGCCACCGCCCCTCCATTTCATATAATACACGTGCCAAACACGTCATACTATTATTCTTATCTCTTATATTATTATTAGACTTAATTCTGCCCTTATATATATATATATAGCTCACTTCATGATGATGAAGGCCACTTCTAGGGTTGTTTCTCTCAAGGTGGAGATGGGAGGGAGGTGGCCGAATTAGCCAAGGGTGACTAAGGAAAGATATAAAGGCACAAAAGGCTCTCTTTATATTCAATATCCAAAGTATTTACAAGGTGTGGTGCCTAGGGTATTTATAGGAGTGGGAGGCATCTAGGGTTGCATTGGCCTAAATTTACAATGCCAAATGCACACCAAATGAAACCCAAATTAACCTAGATGCAACTTGGTGGCCAAGGATGGAATCTTTAGGTTTAGTTAGGCTACATCTAGGTGCATGATAAGACCATGCAACCTTTGCCCTCCACTTGGGCCTAAGCCTTTCTAAGTCCAAAAATAGGTCCAAACACCACCAAAAATATCTCTCTCTTTCTCTCTCTTTAATATATATAAATAAATAAATAAATAAATTTCTTCCCTCTCGATATATATATACTTTTGTTGCAATCAACCTTCCAAACAACCATCAAATAATAACCATAATACATCATCATAAACCATACCCACCTCTCTTTCTCTGAACCTCTAGAAATGCAATGATGAGGATGACATATATAGTAGAAAGCAGAAAAGTTTGATGGAATTTTGGTCCGGGAAAAGAGAATGAGTGAAACGGTAGTGACTCTCCATCCGCAAACAAGGACACCCATTTCTTCTTTGGATGCCATGGCTCATCATCACCACCCACATTATCGGTCACAGTTCGGAGACACAACGTTCACCAAATTGTTCGTGGGAGGACTAGCCTGGGAGACTCCCACCGAAGAAATGCGCAAATATTTCGAGCAGTTCGGAGACATTCTTGAAGCTGTCATAATCACTGACAAGAGCACCGGAAAATCCAAAGGCTACGGATTCGTATGTTGTTCACTCCTTCATTCATTATTTACATAACATTACCATACATCATACCTTCAATACCACGTTATTTTTTATTTCATCCTCTTATTATGTCCTATACAGGTAACATTCTGCGATCAGGAATCAGCAAGAAGGGCATGTGCTGATCCAAACCCAGTAATAGATGGAAGAACAGCAAATTGTAACATTGCTTCTCTGGGAAGGACTCGACCTTCACCACCCCGAGGTTAATTTACATTACATTCTTTTTAATTCCCTATTACTAGTAGTATATATGACAAGGTTAATTATTATGGCAGGGAGGAATATAGTTCAAGGTGGAGGAGGATCAGCACCGGCAGCGGGAGCACCGTCGCTGCCACCACCACCACCACCACCACCACCTGTTCTGTACCCACCATATGGGTGAGTTGAGTTAGCTTTGTTTCATTAATAAATCATAATTTGGAGTCAAAGGAACTGGTCCATGATGTTAATGGGGAAGTGCATATAGACGCACTACATCTTACTGTCTGCATATGTTGCTATTCACTGCTCCTCACCAGTTATAGTAGGAATCACTGTCAGCCTATAAATCATATCCAAATACAAGTACAAAGGGGAAAAGGTTGCTCTGCCATCCACATAACGTGCATTATTGCACCTTCTATTTTGCATAATCTCAACTCACTCTTATAATGCTTAACCAAATGCATTTTTTAGCTTATTAGTCACTTGCATTTAATATTTTTCGCTTCATTCTTTCTGTAAATCTATATATTTTTCTGTTTGTGTTGGAAGAACTCGAAATATTTTTAAATTTAAAAATTCATAAATTATAAATAAAGCTTACCAAGACTTTATATGTTTATATTTATAGTATCTTTGATTTAGATAGTTACATACAATTATGGTAATAGTAAAAATGCTAGTCATAACAGATACAGACCGGTAGATATGTGACCCCTGATGGTGCATAGTGTATATATGCTCAGTGTGGTCCTGCATCAATTAATTTTAATTTTATACATATAATTTTTATTTTTATTTTTATTTTTTATAAAAACAAAAAATAAGATTTAAAAGAGATAAAAATAAGTTAATAAAGATGGAAATTAATGTAAAACCTTTTTAATTATAAATATTAAAAAATAGATATATCTTTTATAACTAAACAGTAAGATTTATAAAACTATAAAATGAATAGGTTTTGTTCAAATACTGGTGACTTATTTAAAAATTTTAAATTAAAAAAAAATGGAACTTTGTCCTTTTTTTTTTAGGGTAGTCTTCATATGTTAAACGTGTATTTTAACATGTGATTCTACGTAAATATTTAATGATATTAGAGTTTTTATGTAAGTCTAACTGATTTATTCCATATAAAGACATTTATTGCTCTATACCGAATATTTACTTGATCGTCGGAGTGCTTTTGCAAGTATCCTCCCCTCCCCTCGGAGACAGTATTCGGTCGGGACCGAAGCCTTGGAAGATCAAGAACTTAGAAGATTAAGAAGATACAAAAGACCGAGGAGAAAGAACGACAAGAGGAGTGTTTCTACGCAGGAACATTTTGACACCCACTGTGGGGCGAAACCGGAACGGTTCTCGACCCTGAAGCAAGATGGTACTTACAAGAAGTTAGCAGGAGAACGTAGCCACCGAGTACCCTTACGGGATGCCCCGGGACAATCCTAGGCAACGAACTAACCAGAACGAGGATGGAATGGAAGAGTCGTATGTCGACCGATCTCAACAGCCTAATCCGTCGTCGGCCATCGAGCAACTAAAGGCCGAAATGATGGAACTCAGAAGGCTTCGAGAAAAGGATGCTCACGAATTATCGGCCTTGAGAAGAGAAAATGCCGAGCTCAGGAGCGATAATCGGACATGGCACCCGTCGCATGATACTCGTAAGCAGTCGACCCGGGACCAAGGTGAATCATCTGGATGGTACAAGGAAGTCAATGTCCCTCGGCCATCAGGCGGACCAACGACAACGACACAAGACCAGCAACGACGACAGGGAAGGACGCCATTCACACCAGATATCGCCGGGGCTCGTCTGCCCGACAACTGGAAAAACTTGACCCTGGAAAAGTATGACGGAACCTCCGACCCTGAAGAACACCTCGACGTGTTCGTCACGCAGGTCGGTCTGTACACCGATGACGATGCAATCATGTGCAAAGTCTTTCCTACTTCGTTGAAAGGACCAGCACTCAATTGGTTCACGCGGCTCCCTCCCGGATCGGTTGATTCGTTCACAACCTTGTCATCCCGTTTCGTAATACAATTCGCCACAAGCCGCCCTCACCAACTAACCTCGATCGCGTTAGTTAACATCCGTCAAGAAAAGAAGGAACCCCTCAGAACATTCATGGAGAGGTTCGGAAAAATGACCTTGGCCATCAGAAATCTAGATCCCGCGGTAGCAATGCACCATCTCACCACGGCGCTGAGGCCATGTCCTTTTGTCAATAGTTTGTGCAAAAAATCACCCCATTACCTGGACGACCTGCAGCAGAGGGCCACTAAATACATGCAGATGGAGGAGCTGGCCGAGTTCTGCAACCAAAACCGACCTGACCTATCTCTCGCTAAAAGAGAAAATGACAAGGAACATCCACGATCTCGTCCTCGAGAAACAACCGATCGTGAGAAGAACAATAACAGAGGTCCAAGGTATGTGCAATATACGCCGCTCAACACCAGCAGGGCCAGGGTGTTGGAGCAAGCTCTAGCCAAGGAAGTTTTGGCTGTTCCTCGAAGAGCTATGACCCCTCCTCACGCCGACAAGACTAAAGCGTGTCAATTCCATCAGAACAGAGGACACACTACTGAGGAATGCTCCGCCCTTCGGGATCGCATCGAAGATCTCATTAAGGCCGGCCACCTCCAAAACTTCGTCCGGATGACAGATAACCGAAGAAACGACTACCGCCCCGGAAGAGGGGAGCATAAAAGGGATAACCGAGATCGAGCACCCCCCAGAACCGATCCCGCGAACGTAGTAGGTCGCAAGAAAGAAACGATCAACGAGACCGCAATCAGCCCAGGCGAGTCATAAACACCATTGCCGGAGGCTTCGCAGAAGGTGGAGGCTCGTCTTCAGCACGGAAAAGACACTTAAGGGCTATCAAGTCGGTCAACGCCATAGGGCGGGCATCTCCCATTCGTATGCCCCCTATTACGTTCACTGACCGAGACTTTCACGGCATTGACCCGGTGCAAGACGACCCAATGGTCATCAGCGTGGAGATCAACAACTGTATCGTGAAAAAAACGCTGGTCGATTAGGGAAGTTCGGCCGACATCTTATACTGGAAGACTTTCGAACAGTTAGGCATCCCGGAACAAGAGTTGACACCCTATGATGAGCCTTTGGTTGGGTTCTTGGGCGAACGGGTGGGCACCTGCGAAACCATAGACTTGTACACCTATTTCGGGGATGACCAGCGCAGGCAGATCAAGGTTCGTTACGTGGTGGTACATGCCAACACCTCGTACAACATTCTGTTGGGAAGACCCTCCTTGAACAAGCTTCGAGCCATCGTTTCCACCCCACACTTGGCTATGAAGTTTCCAAGTGAAGAGGGGGTCGTCATCACTATGCATGCCGATCAGAAAACAGCGCGCGAATGTTACTTCGCCAGCTTAAAAGTAGAACCAACTCTGAAGCCCAGATGGGACGTGAACGTCATCGGCGACGTTGGCAAACAGAAATCAATGGAAGGCCTTGAACTTGATCCAAGACTGGAAGATGAAGATAGGGTCGAACCTATTGAGACAATAGTTCCTTTCCAACTCGGAAAGAGTGAAGAACAGGTTACCTTTTTGAGTTCTCAACTATCCGAAACAGAGGCTAAAGATATCAAGCAAGTCCTACGGAAGTATTCGGATTTATTTGCTTGGACGGCAGCGGATATGCCAGGCATCGATCCGAATTTTCACTATCATCGACTCTCGGTGTGCCGCGACGCCAAACCAATTGCCCAGAAGAAAAGGAAAATGGGTGGAGAGAGAGCCCGGGCCGTGAAGGAAGAAACGACGAAGCTACTACAGGCGGGATTCATAAGAGAGGTGAAATATTCCACGTGGCTGGCCAACGTGGTTATGGTAAAGAAATCGAACGGCAAGTGAAGGATGTGCACCGATTACACAGATTTGAACAAGGCATGCCCGAAGGACGCTTACCCGCTACCTCACATCGATGCACTGGTGGACGGAGCGGCGGATCATCAAAGACTAAGTTTCCTTGACGCGTACTCGGGGTATAATCAAATACCCATGCACCCGCCAGACGAAGAAAAGACTGCATTCATCACTGACTCAGCCAATTTCTGTTACAAGGTCATGCCTTTCGGCTTGAGAAATGCTGGTGCCACTTACCAAAGACTCATGGACAAGATTTTCCGGCATCAAATAGGAACCTGCCTAGAGGTCTATGTGGACGATATGGTGATCAATTCCAACTCCGCCGCCAACCATTTGTAAGACCTCCACTCGATTTTTGACAAGGTGAGGCGACACAGCATGCAATTGAACCCGGCTAAATGCACCTTCGGAGTAGCCGGTGGGAAATTTCTGGGCTTCATGTTGTCAAAGAGAGGAGCCAACCCCGATAAGTGTCACGCGATTATCAACATGCAAAGTCCTCACAACATAAAGGAAGTACAGCGCCTGGCCGGACGCATAGCCTCTCTGGCCCGTTTTCTTCCTTGCATGGCCGAGAAGTCAAGACCTATAATGTCACTATTGAAAAAAGCTACCAAATTTCAATGGAACGAGGAATGCGAGACGGCCTTTCAGAGCTTCAAGACGATGCTCGTAACTCCACCGCTGTGAAGCAAGCCAGACCCTTGTTTAGACATGATAGTCTACATATCAGTGTCGGACAAGGCTATCAGCGCTATTCTGGTACAAGAAACGACGGAGCAAATGCCGGTGTATTTCATCAGCCGAGTCTTACAAGACGCCGAGACGAGATACCAGCATCTGGAAAAGACAGTCCTAGCCCTTGTACACACTGCCAGGCGCCTTCAACACTATTTTCAGAGCCATCGGGTGCTCGTCCGAACAGACAGTCCCATAACTAAGATCCTGCAAAAGCCAGAATTGGCGGGACGAATGGTTGCTTGGTCCGTAGAATTGTCCCAGTTTGATATTCGCTTCGAGCCTAGAGGACCCATCAAGGCACAAAGCTTGGCCGACTTCTTGAATGAATTCACACCCCAAGTGCTCCCCGTTTCCCATCTTTGGACCCTACATGTAGACGGGTCATCAAACCAACAAGGCAGTGGTGCTGGCATTATTTTAGAAGGTCCCTATAAGGTGATGATCGAACAGTCACTCCGTTTCGGCTTCAAGGTATCCAATAATCAAACCGAGTATGAGGCCCTTCTGGCAGGCCTAAGGTTGGCAAAAGACTTAGGCATCCCCAGAGTACAATGTTGGAGCGACTCGCAGGTGGTAACAGAGCAGGTCAACGACACCTTCCAAATTAAAGAACCAACGTTGTTGCTATACTTTCATGCGTTTAATAAGCTGAAAGCAGATTTTGAAGATGTCCAAGTCAAACACACGCCTCGAGAACTCAACATGAGAGCCGATCAGTTGGCCAGGCTAGCTAGTAGCAAGAAGGTTAGCCATTTGCGCAGCATGATACAGCAAGAATTGCCGAAGCCAAGTATCACACAGACCGAATGTTTGCAAGTTCAGCAAGAAACGCCCAATTGGATGACCGGGATAGTAGAGCACTTAATAACCGGATCATTGCCTATTGATCCATTGGAGGCGAAAAAGATGAAAACCGTGGCGGCTCGATACACCCTAATCGCCGGAGAATTATACAAAAGGGGGTTCTCATCACCTTTGTTGAAATGTTTGGCGCCGGATCAAGCACAATACGTAATCCGGGAAATACATGAAGGCATATGCGGAACCCACTCAGGAGGCCGAACTCTCGCAACCAAAGTCGTCTGGGCCGGATATTATTGGCCAACTCTAGTGGCGGATTGTTCAAAGTTTGTTCAACAATGCAAGCCCTGTCAGCAACACGGACCGATGATGCATCAACCCCCCGAGGGGTTACACTCCATTGCCGCCCCCTGGCCATTCTCTATCTGGGGTATGGACATTTTGGGACCTTTCCCGCCAGCAAAAGGCCGGGTCAAGTTTCTTCTTGTGGCCGTTGCCCACTTCACCAAATGGAGCGAGGCGGAGGCAGTGGCTACCATCACGGCTAACCACGTTCAGAAATTCTTTTGGAAGAATGTCATTACTCGTTTCGAAATCCCGTATGCTTTGATCACGGATAATGGTTTGCAATTCACTGACCGCCGTTTCAACGAGTTTTTGACCGGGCTAGGAATTAAACACAAAATTTCCTCTTTATAGCACCCCCAAACCAATGGGCAAGCCGAAGCGGCAAACAAGGTTATCCTTAAAGAGTTGAAGCGACGCCTCGGACAAGCTAAGGGGACATGGTCCGAGCATTTGCCAGAAATCTTATGGGCTTACCGTTGCACTCCACAAAGTTTCGACCAGGGAAACCCCTTTTCGACTAACTTATGGCACAGATGCCATGATTCCGGTGGAAGTAGGAGAGCCTTCCTTGAGACGAACACTATTCAATGAACAAACCAATAATGAAGCACTGAGCGTTGAATCGGATTTGATCCAAGAAGCGCGTGACCAAGCCCTTATCAACATGGAGGCTTGCCGAACCCGATTAATCTGAAAGCATCAATCAAAGGTCAAGCCACGAGATTTCCAACCCGGTGACTTGGTCTGGCGAGTCACGGGGGAAGCACGGAGGGACAAGGTTCAAGGAAAGTTGGCACCCAACTGGGATGGCCCCTACCGTATAATGCACAAATTGCAGAACGGAGCGTACAAGCTGGAAGAACTCACGGGAAAAGCCATCCCTCGGACATGGAACGCAACACATTTGAAGCACTATTTTAGTTAGCAAACGCAATGTAATTGTTTCGTTGCACTCTTTTCCTCTCCTCGGGTTTTCTCCTCTTAAAAGAAAATGTGAAGAGGTTTTCCCAAGAAGAGGTTTTTAACGAGGCACCATATTAATGAAACAAACTCTTGTGAATCTTTTATCTACTCATTGAAAACTAAATTCCCTCCCGAGCACCCTCGCTCGGTCGAGGATGAATAAGTAAATCCCTCCCGAGCACACTCGCTCGGCCAAGGTTGATAACTTAATTCCCTTCCGAGTTTAACTATTCGGCCAAGAACGAACGCTTTCCCTCCCGAGCACCCTCGCTCAGTCAAGGATGAATAAGTAAATCCCTCCCGCGCACACTCACTCGGCCAAGGTTGATAACTTAATTCCCTCCCGAGTTTAACTACTCAGCCAAGGACGAACGCTTTCCCTCCTGAGCACCTTCGCTCGGTCAAGGATGAATCAGTAAATCCCTCCCGAGCACACTCGCTCGGCCAAGGTTGATAACTTAATTCCCTCCCGAGTTTAACTACTCGGCCAAGGACGAACGCTTTCCCTCCCGAGCACCCTCGCTCGGTTAAGGATGAATAAGTAAATCCCTCCCGCGCACACTCGCTCGGCCAAGGTTGATAACTTAATTCCCTCCCGAGTTTAACTACTCGGCCAAGGACGAACGCTTTCCCTCTCGAGAACCCTCGCTCGGTCAAGGATGAATATGTAAAATCCCTCCCGAGCACACTCGCTCGACCAAGGTTGGTAGCTTAATTCCCTCCCGAGTTTAACTACTCGGCCAAGGACGAACACTTTCCCTCCCGAGAACCCTCGCTCGGTCAAGGATGAATAAGTAACATCCCTCCCGAGTACACTTGCTCGGCCAAGGTTGATAACTTAATTCCCTCCCAAGTTTAACTATTCGACCAAGGACGACACTCCAACTCCCTCCCAGGCACTTGCTCGGCCAAGATCAATCGAACCATTCCCCCCGAGTACCTGTCACTTGGCCAAAGCTGAACTTCACAACCCCTCCCGAGATAACAATCCTTTCCGAAATAGCTCCCCGGCCAACGAGGGCCGAAGCAATTCCTCCCGGGACACTTCAACTCGGCCAAAGTTTAATTATTAAACCCTGTACCAACCAAACCTCAACCAAGTCCACTTGCCTTGCCCAAAGCATTCCCGAGTACCTCTCTCGGCCAAAACAGGAAACACGTCTACGCGATCCTAGCACATACGAAACAAGAAAAGCCGCATACAAAGGAGTACAATAGAAAATAAAGCAGAGTCCGAATAGGCGAAAAAACAATTCATTACGACTCTAAGGTCAAAGTGGCACTATTGGCCGAAGGGTACAGGCTAGAATGGCTCTCACGGCCCAAAAGGAATCAAAAACAAAAAACAACAGTATACCCTAAATCTTTACATCTTAAACAAAATAGATGTATAATCAAAAAACAAAAGGCCGAGGCATTCCTCAATCGGCGTTTGTGGTCTGCTCGGTCTCCTCTTCGTCATTAACAGTGGTGCCGGGATCTTCGAGAGCCGCCGATCGAGGAGGGGCCACTGGGTCAGGTGCGGCATTCTCATCAACATCAGCAAAATGGAGCAACTGACCCTGAAAGAAGTCTTTTCCTAGATCAAAAGAGAAGCCGGATGGGAAAGTGCCGAAGTGTGTGGCTTGTCGGACGGCATGCCAAAATTCGTCCTCATGCTCTTTGATGACCTGATTTTCACACTTAGCTCGAAAGGCCTCCATAGCTGCGTCGGCATCAACCTTTGCTCGAGCAATGGCCTCTTCCATTTCCCGAACCCTTGCCCGCTCGGCCTCTTCGGCAGCAATCGCTCGGCCCTCCATTTTACCTAAGGCCTCCTTCAAACGGGCTACCTCAGCCTCCAACGTTAATTTCTTGTTGGAAGTAACCTCGTGAGCCTCGACCGATTGCTGAAACACCGATTTGGTCTCCTCCAGGTTCTTCTGCAGATTATGCACGTCGGCCATAGGCTCTAAGGCCAATTTCCTAAGTATGGCCATCGTCCTGACTTGTAACTCACAAGCCATAGCCCACTTGGCCGACGGACTCGCTGAGTCAAGCATCCGGTGTCCTTGCTCCGACAGTAAGTCCGACGACATCATTCTGGCCGGCCTGATTTCCCCCGACAGAAAATCCTTCGCGACGATGGCCGCAGGGATTGCTAATTCAGCGGAAGGAGATTCGGCCCGGCGCTGCTTAGGCCGGTTGCTTTCCGTCGCAGCCACATCGGCTTTCCTTTTCCCCTTGTCCCTTTTTCTTCTTCCATGGGGATCCAGAAAGGCAATGACATGAGGAGGCGGGGGCGGTGCCGCCATAGTAGTCGGCTGCTGATCGATGGCCACGCTCCTATGAGCCTCGGCCGAAGAAGCGCCTGGAGCACGACTCCTCATGAGTTGCCGATACGAGACGCCGACACCTTGCTGAGCCATCCAACCTGTCAAGAGCCAAAAGTCACACATCAACTTAAGAAGAACAAGGGAACAAGAAAAAACGGTATATACCCTCTAATTCAAAACAAGGCCGAGGCGATTTGGGCAACAGTACAAGAAACCGAGCCGGGATCCCCTGAGGTAGCCCATTCAGAATGTTTGTAGCCGACACCTCGGCCTCGGTCAACATCTCCAGTGGAAACTCGTCATACTTCCGAGCCTGCCTTGTCCAATAGAAGGGAAAAAGAGGTTTCTGCTCGGCATCAGAAATAATTCCGGCCGGCAACGGGGTCTATCATCACCTTTACAAACCCCGATTTGAATCCCTTAAAGGATGAAGTATACGGCCGCATTAGTGGCCGGTCGTCATGCCGAATAAGAGACAGCCACTTTACGAATTTATTCGACGGCCGAGTACAAAAATAATGTAAAAATAACCCTACGCTAGGCTCTATGTAATGATATCTACAAAGCACCCGAAAGGCTTGCATGTACGCCCACCCATTCGGGTGCAACTGGGTCGGCGCCACATTTAACACCCTAAGAACCCCCATCTGGAAGTCGTCCAGAGGGAGAGATACCCCAAGCTCCCGGAAAAGACACTCATACATATAAAAATAATCACCCTCATTCTCTCGCTTCGCAAGGAATACAAGGTCTAACTCGTTAGGACCTTCGGCCCGTCACCGACGCAACTTGACTGGATAGGGCTCTAAATCTTCCCACCGAGCCAAAGTGCATATCCCGAGAAGGTGCTCCACGGCACTCCTCGCATAAAAACGGGAATAGTAGGCGGCCACTTCGTCGTCAACCCACTCATATCCCGGAACATCGCAAGGAGGAAACTTTTGCCTATAGTCTTGACGACTCATCTCGGCACCCGGAAGGTCCGAATCGGATGAACTGGCCGACCCCCTACTATCACTCAGCCCCACCTCGCGGGAACTCCCCGCCTCGACCTCGTCATCGAAGGCCAACACTTCGGCCTCCACATCCACTGATAATACCCTAGCATTCGAGGACGACCCCGATGACAAATCAATCGAACCGGTTGCCATTAAAAAGAAAAAAGCTAAAATCTACCTGTCAATGAAGCACTCGGGAGACAATATGGTGAGGGTCTCGGGGCAGACAATCTTAATATGAAGAAACGTGTGAGGATAACTATGCCCCAACGCTGTTTATATAGGTGAACCCCCCGGAATTCCAAAAGCTCCTCATTAATGCCCCTGGAACTGAAAAGACGCAAGCTAAGGGCTCGAAACCCTAGGGCGGCTGCGCATGCAACGGTCACTTTCATCAATAGTCACGACCCCCGAGACGCGTACGAAAACCCTAAAAACCCACACCGAGCCTACTCAAACCCCTTCGTCTTTCATCCTTGGGCCTTGGGGGCAGTGTACTGGTAGACACCCTTTCGACCCCATACCAAGCCGAATCACCCCTTCGGCCATAGATTGAGCCGAGTACCCTCCTCGGCCCAATCACAAGCAATCCCCATCCAAGCCACACTATCTCGGGCGTGGACCAAGCCGAATCACCCCTTCGGCCATAGATCGAGCCGAGTACCCCCCTCGGCCCAATCACAAGCAATCCCCATCCAAGCCACACTATCTCGGGCGTGGATCAAGCCAAACACCCCCTCGGCCCCAGGCCAGGCCGAATACCCCTTCGGCCTCAGGCCAGGCCGAATACCCCTTCGGCCTCAGGCCAGGCCGAATACCCCTTCGGCCCCAGGCCAGGCCGAATACCCCTTTGGCCTCAGGCCAGGCCGAATACCCCTTCGGCCTCAGGCCAGGCCGAATACCTTGACGGCCTTAGGCTTGACCGAAGGACTTGACGTAAAAGGAACTCACCTAAAACACGTGGCAAATTAGATATCTATTATACAGCAGTCATCAACCTTGATTAAGGGGAGCTTAAGGTTAATTAAAAGGTTACCCACTCCCCAAGACAGAAGGCCCACCAGGCCCAAATATG